GTAAACAATATATCACGAGTTTGATGATCTTATATTATAACTGCGATCGAAATATTGTAGATAGTAAATATATGTTACTCATAATTTACAATTTTAATTTATTTCATTCATAATATAGAAATAATTTATTCGTTTATGTTTATTACGCATTTATGTCTTCTTCGACACGTGTGATCATCCAACATGAACATTTACTGTAGTTTATGATACTATTTAATTTTCTACGACTTGCAAAAATTTTCTACTGATTTTTTGTACCTAACTATGGAATTTTCGACTTAATAAAATTCCAAACTGTTTTCATAGACTTCAAGTAAATGGCACCTACAGATGGAGCATGCCTATCTGCTGTGAGTGCGTGTTGCGTGTGTGAGTGCATGAACTTATTCGTGACATGCGAATAAACTCAGCTTTCTTGAGTCATGAATGACGTCGTGAATTCGTGAGCGAGGGCTGCTCGTGAGGTCAATGGCCTCGTGCTTGTGTATTGATTCTTTTTTTACGTCTCGTAGCAAACAAAAAATTATACTAAACATTGTATTAAAGTTTAATTATCATGCATCGTAAATAAGATTATGTATAGTTATTCATCCTGACACATGGTGTATACCGAAAAAATTCCAGCTCCGTATTACGGAAATTGGTGTAGTTACCCTCATATAAAGGTGTGGAATTGACAGGTCATTATGGCTTTGTTGTATACTCAGTACACTTTTTCTTCCATGCCTGTAATATATTCTGATAATTTCCCACAATTTGCTTACTGATCGGGAGAGGATAGTGCATTACTCAAGTTCTGAGTATTATTCACATGGATATATACCAAATTGATCCGATGTTTTATACGGTAGCACCGCACACTGATTATAGTGGAGATATAATAAATCGAAAAATTATATCTTTAGGGCATGATAAGGGTATTAAAATGTATTAATTATCGCGGCGAAGGCACGATAGTTTGTGTCTATATCGTTAATTAGGGCTGTGATACAAATCGAATATTAATCTCTCAAGCCTCGCGTGTAGGAACATATGATATAAATGAGATTATATGTAATGTGGATCCTTTAGAAGCGTTATCACAATGAGAGTTATTTTAAAGAAGGGTTAGAGACCAGCAACTCAAGCCGGCGTTGCTTTTGAACATTTTCGCGTCCCGTGCTTTGAAAACGCTGACAAATGTTGCACATTTTGCAATGGAAGAATATTTATTTGTCAGCAAAACGAATGAATAATGTTGCCAGTTGATGCTAAATAATGAACTTTACTCATAATAGAGAGAATTTTTCCTCCGCCTTCACAAATAGTTAGAATATTGTTATATGTTGCCTTATATATAGGTAGATTCTTGCAAAAAAATACTAGAATGACGCATTGGCAAATCAAATTGGTTAAAGATTGTTCATTCATTACATTAATGGCAAAATAATCCCGTTACATTGGTTATAAACGTACGCTTTCCAACTCAGGATTTAACCTCATTCTTCTTAGGAGCGCAATTCAATAAATATTTTTTACTATTTATTTTGCCCGACGCCGACAAAAAAAAAAAAACACCCACACAGGCTTGTGGCAGAGTCGCTCTCAGTCGCGATGTTGCAATAGCGCATCATAACTGCTGGCGACCCACTCGCCATAACTATGGTACGGCGTGCTATTTCTTCAATATTTTCAACATATGGCATCATCTCAACACGACTGATTCAGTAGAAGTAACGTAGCAC